GTAATGGAACATATTTTTCAAGTACTGGTATTTGCATTTTCTGTAACAATTCCTTATAATAAAATGAGGTGAAATTGTGCATTTGAAGTGGAAACTTTAATGAGACATTTATAGTTAACTTCTAATGCAGAAGTATCAATAAGCATTAAAAAATACCAAGCAAACAAAGCAACTCCTGACGTGACAAATTTCTTTAACAGCTACCCTCTAGGAAAGTTTGAATTCCAACAGTTTTCCGAAACACACAGTTGACAGCAGTCAAAAAGTTGCTGTTTTAGGCATACTGACCGGCTGCCTGGACAGACGGTGCTCCGGGCCCACACAGCTCCTGGTGACGTGTGTGCTCGCTGCGGCTCTCCAGATGACCCTGGAAGTCCCCCCTCAGACTCCATTCTTTAGGAGCAACTCAAAAGGGCCCACCCTTCGTGAGCTTTCCGATGGTCAAGGTTTGAAGGCACAGTGGGCTTCAGAGACTGCTAATGGAGCTTTAGGAGCTTCCAAATTAAAATCTTGTGCTCCATAAAGCCCCTGTACAGATCATACAAATCTGGTAGCTCACCTGGCACCTGCACTCTAGAACTAACATACTCCCTTTCTTTACCTGTCCTTCCTTTTGCTTACCCTTGGTTCACACCAGCTCTTAGGATTCTCATTCTCCTGTGGCTTTTCCCCAGAGTTGACAGGCACTGCTAAGTGCTTCCACACAGCCGTCCTTTGAGGCGAACAGCGGTCACGCTCTGTCGCTGGCTGTAACGTGCAGTGTAAATGGAGCCGGGGCCAGCACGGGCTTTAGTTCTGATTTGTCATTGATGAACTGACAGTATTGGGCAAGTTTCGTAATTCTTGTGCCTCACTTTCCCTGTCTAGAAAATGGAGGTGACCATGGTCCTTCCCATCTCACAGGGTTGACTGAGGAAGGTGATCAATCATATGACCTTCCTCTTACCCAAGGGCGCAGATTCTGGTGTACAGCCCAGGGTCCCCTCTAGTGAGGGCTCTCCACAACAATGTCTCCTGCCTGCCTGAAGGAGTCCGGGGGTTCTGGCAATAGGAAATGCTCTCGAGGGTGGGGGCTCCATCCCGGGTAGTCCTCTGAAGGGCACCCGCAGATGTCTAAGCAGACACAGCCCCAGCCAGTTCATGAGACCTAGTTTTCCAGTCACAGCTTGTCCCAGAGCAAAGCAAGCAAGGGGTTAAGGGGTTGGGGTGACGGTTTGATAATGGCTCCCTGGGTTTTGCAGTCATGCAATGACTGAGCTTTGACCGAAAAATCCCAGATTCTTCACTGAGTTCTGTTTATAGAAAAACGAAATAACAGAACTAAAAGGCAGATGTTAAGATTTCCTTCAAGATGTTGAAGGACACCAGCCCTGTAGCTGCCCCACCTATGCTTTAACACTGCTCACTGGTGGGGCAGAAAGGAGATCTCGGTAAAAACCTCAGCTTTGTCACGTGATAGCCATGTAGCTATTAAAAGGAGGGGGTAGTATTTATGCCCCCTCCCCACATGGGCCATAAAACGGAACCTCTCAAGACTGGCCTGGAGATTGAACGAGAACACGATGTTCCCTGCACAGGGCCTGGCCCAGCACAGTTGGCCAACATGGACTCACTTTCTTCTTCGTTTTCCTTTGACAGCAAGTCTAACTACATGCTCAAAATGAGCTGAACTCAGGGAGTGACTTTCTTCCTCCTTCACAGTCTTGCCCAGGGCCATCTCTACTGGAGAGAGAAAGAAGAGGTATTTCTTCAGTAACCACCAGCTGCTTGTGGCTGTTCTACTACCTTGACAGGAGGGAGGTTCTTTACTATAAAGTGCGTGGCACCAAAAAGGAAGTGAATTCTCACTGAGCAAGAAACTGTGCAGGTTTCTGAGGCTGGCTGAGCTTTCCTGGAGCCTAGGAAAAGGGGTGTTACATCAGTCAGAGGTCAGGTACCTTCTAGGTTCCTCCAAAACTTGGCTGGAATGACTATGCTGTTTTTCAATTTTTTTTCCCCATTTGTTTTTGGAAGTGTCTGAACATTTCTGGCCCTCACACTACCCCTGTATCCCTGCCCCGAGAATGGACTCTAGATGCTCTAACCAGGGGTCTACTCTACCATACTATAAACTGGAAGTCAGAAGCCTCCTGCCTCCCACCCTCAGCACGATGCCTGGCATGTAGTAGGTACCTGGCAAATATTTGCTGAGTGCCTAGAGGAGGAACCAGAGCAGGGACAGTGACTAGTTCCCAGTTAGCCTGGAGTTGAGGGCTGTCTCCAGGTAACAGAGAAGCCTCAGGTACTGACTTCAAGGGCTGTCTGGAACTCAAAACAAGGTCCTAATTTCAGCCCTCCTTTCTGTCCGTCCCTGCTCCAGGGAGGGCAGAAACATTCAGAAACGGAGGAGTAAAATAGCACTAAATCAGGAGTCAGAACCTTGGGTTCTAGGCTCAGATCCATTGCTTTGTGACCTTGGGCAGGTCATTAAAGACCTCTGAGCCTCCGCAGCTGCACCTCTAAAATAAGAGCTAACTGTACACTGACCACACAGTAGGCAGTATGGATGCTGGGGGTACAAAGCTGAGTGACCTGGGAATCTGCAGTCCAGCGAGAGGCGGAGGAGGAAATCAACGGTCACAGCACACTGAGATACGTACCATTTTAGGAGTTGGCACAGGGTGCCGTGGAACCCGAGGAAAGCGCATCTAAATCCATCTGCTGGGCCAGTGGTTAATGAAGGCTCCCAAGAGGTGCTGATTGAGCTGAGTTTTGAAGAAATAAGGGGTGGGCAAATTGAGTGGAGGAAGAGGTGTCATCCCAGGCAGAAGGAACAGCTTGTGTGAAGGAATGTAGGCAAAATGCAGCGAGACGGCGGCTGAAGGGAAGGTGTGTGTGGGAGGCAGTGGGAGAGACCAGAGGCTAACGGAGGTGGACTGCAGAAGTGCTTTGTGTGCCAAGCTGCTGAAGTTAGCCCTTCATCTTTACAGATACGGAGAACCACTGAGCCAGTTTCAAAGGGGAATGCCGTGATTGTTAAGAGGACGACTCTGGCAGCAGTGTAGAGGATGGTTGGAGGGGGTGAGATTGGAGGCAGGGTGGGTGGTTAGACTCCTGCGGTAACCAGGTGAGAAGCGGAGGCCTAAACCAGAGGAGCAGCACTGGGAGTAGTTAAGAGAGGAAAGAATGAAGGAGGTGGAGTTTGAGGGGCCTCCGGAAATGCTCAGGAAAGCCACCTGGACTGGAGATACAGGTTTGGCAGTCCAAGGGCAGCTGGAATGAGAGGCACAAGAGCAATGAGGTGGGGCAGCTTTCATGGAGACCAAGAAGGAATGGCCAGAGGGAGAAAAGAGAAATCAGGAAAAAGCCAAGGGCTGATGTCATGGGGGAGTTCCTCATGGCCAACAGTGTCAAATGTGCCAGGTCCACGGAGATAAGAACTGAATGTGACCACACCAATACAGAATTTATCCTGCTCTTGAGAGCAGAGAAGGACAGAAGCCAGGCAACTATGTTGCACAGCGGATAGGGGTGAAAAGCAAAGACAGTGAGCATAAGCAGCTTTCTCAAGAAGCTTGGCTGTCACAGGTATGGTAGCTACATTAGAATCGGTGTTGAGGGAGTGTTTTATTTATGATGTGAAGAAGTGGGCCCATTTACTGCATGCTTAGGGGAAAGAGCTAGGAGACAGGGAGAGGTTAAAGGCACAAGGAGGGGCAGATGAGGGAGATCTGGGGTGGCAAAAGGTGCCAAGAGGCAGCCCAGGTGTAAGGACCCACGGGGCCATTAAGGGCCGTGAGCCCTGAGTCTGCCAGTGAAGGGGAGACAGCCTCCATTAGTGAGATCAGTGATGAAGGAAAGGGAAAAAAGAGAGACAGGAGGAGTAGAAGATGTTCAGAAGCGTAGCTGAGGGGACTGGAAACAGCGGGGAAGCCTCCGAGGAGAGACTGTGAACCTGACAGCACCAGTCTTCATTTCCTTATCTGTAAGGGGAACACGCCTCACGCCATCTACAAAGGAATGGCTATGAAATTTCTTTGTCAAATGTAGTAAGACTACAGATGACCTTGGACATACAACCCACTGGACAGGCTGCAAGCCAGGCCACCATTAAGTTGGGGCTGTGGGGGTTGACATTTACGTCCTCGCCCAAACCTTGATGTTACGCTACCAGGTTAGGGCTGTGAAACTACCTTTTGCTCAAAATGCAGACTCTTCCCTTAGAAAACACAACACCACACCTGATTTTAAGTGTTTAAAAGCCAGACAATATCCTTGCTTTAAACTGTTGCTGTGTTCAGAAGCCTCTGGATTTTCTGCATACGTATAAGCAAAAGGTTTTCCATTTCCAGAATGAGCCTATCATTATCACCACTCATTGTATTGGCCCAGCCCTAATCAACAAGTTTGCCCTAGGAGAGAGCTCTTACTTACAAGAAAAGTCATAAGTCAGGGCTCCCAAGGGTAGCCAGTGGGGAGCCCAGGACAGAGATATATCGACACTGTCTAATTTGTATGGCTTTTTGGGATGTGTCTGCTCAGACCTGTTAGGGAATTATGGAGTCCCTTTTCGCTAGCGCCCCAGATGCCTTGACGGGGTTGGGAAAGGCTGAGTTACAAGCAGGGCCCAGGGCTGCTGACAACGGATCCAAGTAGACTGGGGGCCCACAGAAATGCAGCTACTGGAACCCAGAACTCTTCTGCTTGTTTGTCCAGTTATTTTTGAGTTGATCATATTTGTGCCCATTGATATCTGAGGGCTCTGAAGGAAGATGGCACATGGATCCAGGGCAACAGTGGCAGAAGCAGGCTGACCAGTACTAGACTGGGCAAGTCACTGAGCTCTGGCCACAGCACCAGAAGGGTGAGGGGGACATGAGTCACATATGCAGAGTGTGGGCCAGAGTCCTTCCAGGGCCCCTTGTCTCATGTCAGAAACCATCCTAGGGTACCTGGGGGTTAAGAGCCTATTAGGGTTCTGGGCAGGGTTCACGTGTATTATCAACATATATGGTAACCACTTAGGGTGGGAAGGAGCATGTGATGGCTAGGGGTGGGCAGCCTGTGTATTCCCCCACATTGGGGTGGTCCAAGTCCCCACGATTTCTGTGTGTAGGATTGTCTGGCAGCTGGTCACTAGGGGGGCCAGTTGTTCTCACACATACGCACTGGGGCTCCTTGGCACCTGGCTTAAACAGCTTCCTGGGGACGCCAATCCAGTCTCTGCTGACACCTCCACTAAGGACAGAAGGAAAGAGGGCTTCTTAACAGCAGGAACTCATGAGTCTCTCTGAGAAGGGTAGAGATGACAACACTGAGCAAGGCCTTATGAAAAGCAGCAGCCATTCTACTTCCCATCTTGGGTTTTCCCAAGGCAGCAGTCTGTAGCGCTCAACCTGAGCTTTCATACTTTCCCCTGACTTCTCCAGCACCCCCTGCAGGCACCACTGCCACCTTCTCCAGGTCAAGAGCAGAGCCCGTGGTCGTCGCTTTCACGGTGCTCCCCCAACCCCTGCCTTGCACCTTCCCAGGACGCAGCACTGCGCCCTGTGCTGGTGTTAACAGCTGCTGTAGGGTTTCCCCCACCGGCCTATGAGCTTCTCAAAAGCCGTGTCTAAGGCTGAGTCTCTTCTCCTTTCTCCACTATATCCCCGCCCAGGGTTCAGTCTTGATCCTAGGGTCTGGGACCCATCAAGCCTTGGCCTGGGGTGTAATTGCAGGCTGCCCAGCCCCCTGCAGAGATCCAGTCCTTGATGTTGCCAGGTGTCAGAGATGGAGGATTCAGCTGTGGCCCAGCATAGCCTCAGCAACCTCCTAGTCCTGAACTCATCTCGGTACTGAGTTCATCTCCTGTGGTCTCATGGGCCTTGCAAACTGAAAATGAGATTCTTGCAATTGATGCCCCATACAGTTTTCAGCTGGGACCAGGCTCACTCCTGTCAAAAACTCTGCTACCCAGTTAGAAACCCTTCCACATGTAGCTTACCCAAGAACAAGGCTGGTCCTCCAGCCACACATCCCCACAACACTGCACCTTCCTCCACACCAGGCTACGAACTGAAATCACACCTGCTCCCTGCCTTCAGGGATCCTTTCTCTCAGTCTGATGGGAGACACACACGAGTAAGTGGAAAACAACAAATTGGGCTTACGCACAGGGATAGGGCCCTTAAGCTCACTGGGATGGGTTTGGAAGGGCTTTGTGGGAAAGGAAGAGCATACACAACTCAGTCATGGAAGGGGTCAATCAGACAGAGGTGAGGGCTGTAGGGAAAGAGAGGGAGGCAGGGTACCAAGGGAGCTGACGGAAGCAACTAAACGCACACAGGCCTCTGGTCCCACCCACAGAGGAGCAGTGCTAAGGCCGCCTCATTTAGGCTTCTGTCCTAGCAAGGCCCCCCTTTGTCCTAATGCCTGCCTCTAAGCAGCCAGGCCAGGTTCTCACAGCTCCCCCACCCCTCCCTTTTCTTGAGACATGCTGGCACTGGAGAAGCTATCTCTCTTCAAAACTGGTGGGCCAGGAGAGAAGGGGCTTTCCTTCCTGCCAGCTTCGCCCCTCTCCCCTGAATTAAAGCAGAGGAAATGTGTGATGGATACAGTAGCTGGGCCTAGAGAAAGCTGGCAGCTTTGGCTGTTTGCTCTTGTCCACACAATGAATCAGCCTCAAGGAGAGTAACAAGGTATGGCCTATCCCTGCTGAAAGAGGCCGGTCTACAGTTTAGCAATTAGAGAACCGGCCCTTCTCCCTAATTTAGCGTGAGCAGAGATTTCCCTGCCCCTCCTCAGTGAGAGCTGGGCTCTTCTTCGAAGCCCTTGAAGCTGGGGATGTTTGTCTAGTTTCTGGCTTCCTTTACCCTCTTCCCAGAGCTAAAAGAGGTTTGAGGGACTCAAGTTACACTTTGAGTCCAGGCTGGCCTGATGATTAAAGCAGGAAAATTTTTTTTTCTCAACTTCGCAAACTAATCTGGAATAATCCCCGTGGCATCATTTCTAATCTGGCTCACCTCATTTTATTCTTATAGGAAAGGACTTTTCCATCTAGCCTGTACCCCTCTTGGTCAGCCTGGTGGTATTCAGAATTGGCAGTGATTTTAAGACCACCTCAGGGCATCACTGCAAGTGCCCCTCCTCGCCCCAGCCCTCTCTCCTGTCAGCAGGAATGATTTGTGCTGACTGACAGGTAGGAGACCGAGGCCCTGTGAGAAACAGTACTTTTGCCTTCTCGTTCCCAGGCCAGGGTTCCTTCAGCAGAGTCTTTGGGGCATTGAAAAATAAATAAGATGCCAGGTCTCAACCTTAACATTCTCACTCAGGTGTCTGCAGTGAGGTCCCACCATCAGTCATTTTTAAAATTCCCCAGAAGATTCTAAAACGCAGCCACAGCTGAGAATCACTATGCCAGACAGAGCGTATGGATTCTAAGAAGCTCCCCTGGGTGAACAGCTTGTGGCTTCACTGCGTAGCACGTACAGGATGACCAGGAGTCAGATCTCGGAGAGGGAGGGAGAGGAGAAGCCCGCTTACCTCTTTCGGGAACACCAGAACCGGCTGCCCCTGGCTGAGCTCCACTCAGTGTTGCACGGTGGAAACTTCTGCTTCTCTTTCATTTCCTGTTTACTTGCCTCCAAACCTTTGACGATCATGGCTTCTACGAGGGTCAGTGCTGGGGTCGGGAGCCCGTCCTCCCCGTAGAACCTTCCTATCACCTTTCCTGTGTTGACAGGGAAGCTGATGTCAGATTAACGGTGGGAGCGAGGCACGAACAGATGCTGAGCTTCTTAAAGAGCTGTAGCGAAGCTCAAGTTCCCAGGGTTTCTGCCCCTCACCTCAGGATCTACAGTAGCCTGCTGGGTGCTTATGTAAAATAAGACCTCATATTGCAGGGACTTTTGGTGCCTCCTGCTCCAACCTCTCTCAGCATCGTACAAGATCCCAGACAGAAGTATCCCTGCTCTAGAGTCCTCCAGTATGCAAACTACAGAAGCCTTTGGACTTCCCAACATGGGTTCCCTGAGGGAGGAGTCGTGAACAATTCATTCCTCAGTGCTCCACAGTGCTTGGGGCACACAGTAGGTATTCATTAAGTGTTTGATGAATGAATGGCTTACTGGCTAACACTTTTATGGCTCAGTTCTTCCAACATTGAATTATTTTGTCTTATATAACTATAAATAAGCCATTTATTATTTGCCAGGCACTATGCTAGCACTTTACTAATATTTTTTTTAAATCCTCGTAACAACAGTGTGACAGAGAAACCATTGTTCCCATGTTCATAGCAATGAGACTGAGAGACTGAATAACTCAGGGCAGTTCATGAAGCCTGTAAGTGGTCGGATCCAAGCCCGTGCTCTCGCCTCCATCACCCTCTTCCGGCTCAGTCCTTCTGTGGACGTGGGTGAGTGGAAACTGGCTTTAATTTACACTTGCTTCTCTCCTCCACCCCACTTAAATCCCTGTCAGAACTTTTAAAGGTCTGAGCTATGGCAGCTGCCAGCAAGTGGTCCGCCAGAGCAAAAAAGGGATCAGTTCTCCTTCGGTGCAGGGACTTCTATCCCCAAGTCCTGAGCTGCGGCTGGCCTTCACAGGCAGCACCTGTCACAAGGCAAGAGCAGCAGCCGAAAGCACTTCTGGGTGGTGTGACCAGGTAGGAGGCAGCAATGCATACCAGCCCCCAGCTGTGTGGGTCCCTACCTCTACAGCCTCTAAGAATTGGCTTTAACTCAGGTTCCAAATGGCACTTAGGTTTGGTGTGTTCATTCCCTCAGGTCCAGCTCCATATCCTGATTTCCCGGATTCTACTTATGTCACCCCTGGCCTGTTATCTAGATTAGGGGCCTTGGATCTAACTCCTCCTCCTTCACATTTAACCCATTAACAAATTAACAACTCTTGTCAGCCCTGTGTCTAAAACATCCTGCTTCTGTCCATTCTTTTCCATTTCCACCACTACCACCCTCAGCCAAACCACGGGCTTACCACAAGAGTCTCCCAACTGGTCTCTCTACTTCAGCTTATGCCTTCCTACAGCTCCTTCTCCACAAATCAGCCAGAGTGATCTTTTTTAAAACATGAATCATTTCAAGTCACCTCTATGGCTGCTGAAAACCCTCCAATGACTTCCTAAAACACTTGGATAAAATACCAACTTCTTATCAAGCCCTCCAAGGCCTAAATGACAAATTCTGTTTGCTGCTTCAACCTCTTCTCCAGCCACTGCCTCCATCACTTACTGCAGGCTCCAGCACACTGGCTCCTTTTCTAGTCCACGGCCATGTTCAGCTGCTCCCCCACCTCAGGCACTACTGTTCCCTCTGCTTCAAATACTCTATCCTCTATGGCTGGCTCCCTCTCACCGACCAGGTCTCAACTTAACTGTCATCTCCTCTAAGAGGCCTCCCCAGACCATCTCCTCCGAAGGTGCCTCACCCCCACCACACACTCATCACATCACAGTTTTATTTTATGTATAGCCCTCTCTGGTATCGTCTGATCTTTTTACTTGTTTGTCTCTCCTTGCCAGTGAGGCCCCAGAACTCAAAACAGCTTTTGTACAGAGTATTCATTTTAAATACTTATTAAATGCATAAATAAATGGACCAGGGCCCGAGTCACAGGCCTGCACAGGACATTCCATTACACAGGGGCTCTGTACTGCATGGTGGCAAGCCTGTCTCAGCAGGTTTTAGACATGAGACCCTAAAAGGGGATAGTAGTAGTAGAGATAGCAGAGAAAGAGTTTGAGAAGTTGTGTCATGAGAATGGTGGTCACCACTGGCTTGGTCTCCATGTCAGTGCTGCATCCAGAACACAACAAAAGACAACTCGGTTTCTAACAAGGCCTGGCCATGTGGCTGCCCAGACAGCTTCCTGGATGTCTTCACTTCAGCGTGAACCCTTATAATAAAGCTTCATCCCTTGACATGTCCTGAGGGTTTCCCCCTCTTACAGAATGAGCTAACAGATGGCAGGAACTATATTCAACTCATCCCTGATCCCATGAGGACCAAAACCGTAACTTATTCATAGTAGATATTCAAATATATCCTGACTAAAATCCTTCTGAGGCATTTCTGACCATATGGCCCTGCATACCCCTCCATTAATACACTATTCAAGTGAAACTAGTTTACTCATCTCACCAAACACAGCAGGAACCATTCTAGTTTGCTCCCCAAATCTTAGAGTTTGGTCTGGCATCCTTTGCCCACTCACAGAACTCCCTTCTTATTTCTTTGTGTTGGGCTTTCTTTTCCTTATTAACCCAGTAATATTTCAACCTTAGTTTGGCAGTCTCATGGGGAATAGGGGGAACCAAGCCCTCTGAAAGGCAGACAGATGGATGGAGGTGAGTTCCTTCAATGGCAGACACAGTTGTGGCATGAGGAATGATCTGGGGGAGACTGAGTGAAAGCAAAGAAGGGTGTGCAGCAGGTTGGGATGCCAAGGGCCAACAGTGGAGTGGGGGTTTGTAAACAGAAAGGCACAAACTTTAGATGTTATGAAGAAAGTCTGGACCACTTGGATATGGAGGGAGCAGAGGAGTTATTAAAAATGCCAAGGTTCTCAGAAAAGGTTAACTCAAGTCATAATGACAGAAACAGACATTCACAGGCATTAGGACAAAGGAAAGAGAACTCTTCAAGTTTGGGCCTGTTCCAATGGTGAAGTGACACTGATGTTCCCCAGGAAGTTAGCTGTGTCCGAGTGGGGCTCCAATGAGAGGTCAGAGTTGTGGACAGATGGAGAAAAGGGCCCAACCATCCCAGCTTTCCAAGTTCGCAAAGCAATCTAGGGTTCTGTGTCTTTTAACATTTCTCTAGGACAGTGTTAGGTGTCTTCCCGTTTCAAAGGAGAGTTCCTTCATGTCTCACCAATAAGTAGCAAGTACAGTGCCCCACACAACTGGCTTTAAGAAATGTTTGATTAGTATCACTGTCTTCCATCTGGGAGACAATTCGTTGAGGATAGACACAGGTTTGTCTCCTTGATGACAAAATAAATTTGTTAAAACTGCACACAAGTTTAGTTTCAGTCCTTCCTGGCTGTGTGGTGAAGCCAGATGCCTGGTTCACAGTGAGACTGGGAAGTTGCCCTTCCGGAGCTGGTGGTTTACAGATGGCGTGGGCAACCACTGGCTTTGGGGCAACCGAGGCCAGAGCAAATAGTCTCGTAATCCTCTCCCAAGAAGAGTGAGAGAAACAGGTGTCCCATCCACCTCCTTCTGAGGCTCACTGCCACACTAACAACCAGAGTTAAAGGTGGAAAGTTCATGGCTATTTTTCAGATTTTAACTTTGAGCCCAATCCTCAAAGAAACCCAGCTCCTTAAAAAAAAGCAAGACAACCAAATGAAATCTGTGGAAATGACCTGTGGACTACCTACCAACAAATTCATAATTCTTCTCATAGAATGAAAGCCAATTTTTAAGGGTCAGCATATCAGAAAATGACAAGTCAGATACATCATCCACAAGGCCTGCTTCAGAGTAGTCCCCGGTCACAAACGCTCTGGATGCATCTCGGCCTGTAGGAGAGAAGTTTCCAATGGATTAGGCTGTAAATCACCAACAAGGTACCAACTTGGGAATCGCTCTTCTGGGAAACATCTCCTGAAAACCCACGATCTCCACCGTCAGGCAAAGCTAATCCCCCCCTCCTGGGTGACAGATGCTCCTGGACCTTGAACACATCTCTTTAGCATTTGTAATGTTCTTCATTTTACTCTTATCAACTTTTAACACAGCTGACCACTTCCTTTGGCTTCCAGGACACCATACTCTTGGTTTTCCTCTTACCTCACTATGTCCTCCTCAGGAGTCAATTCTTGTCCACCTGCTCTGCTCTATCCACACCCTCTCACTTGACAATCTCATCTACTCCTATGGTTTCAAATACCACTTCTACGACAAAGCTTGCCAAATTTGTACCTTTAGCTCAGACTTCTCGAGCTCCAGACCTATGTATCTGTCTACTCAACATCGTTTAGATGTCTTACAGACATCACAGGTTCAAAATGTCCACAGTGAACTAACGGTCACCAGCTACCCGTAGCCCCAGGAACCCTGCGTCTATTTTAGCTTTCTCTAGCTCCGTAAATGTCACCCAGTTGCTCAATCTAGAAATGCAGTCCTTGACACCTCCTTCATCCCCCACATCCAATCAATCCCTAATTCCTATATATTTTCTTGCTAAATAGTTCTTAAATCAGTCTACCTGGCTCCACCTTTGCTGCCACTAGCCAAGCTGCCATCATCTCTCGAGTGGATTGCTACAGCAGGCTCCTAATGGGTCTTCCCCACGTTCATTGTTGCCCCGCTAATCTATTCTCCATACAACACTTAAACTGGTTTTTTTGAATAATTTATTTTATTGTTGTTGTTGAGAATATACACACCAAAAACGGACCAATTCAAGTTCCTAATGTACATTTCAGTGACACTGATTACATTCTTGGAGTTATGCAACCATTTTCACCCTTAGACTGATATTTTAAACACAAACTGATCATGTCATTCTCCTACTTAAAAATCTCAGTGGCTTCTCTTTGCCCTATAACAATGGGCAAATTCCTTGACATGTCATTTAGCACCCTGCATCAACCTCACCATGCCACTTTCTTCATTGTTCACTTCATTCCAGTCAGGCTTGACTTCTTCATTACTTCTACTGGCCAGCTCCTTCCCACTTCAAGGTCCTTGCACATGCTGTTTTCTCTGCCCCTACCTCTTCACCTGGCTATCTCCTACTCACCCTACAGGTTCTCCAGGGCTGCTTTCCCAATCAAGCTCTCTCCCAACCACCCGCTGCACTTCCTCTCTCCCAGCCCGTCCCCAACTAGGTTAGAGTGAGTACTTTTTCCTTTTAACACTCGTCACATTAATTGTTTGTGTGATAACTACTTAATGTCTGTCTTTTCTACTAGTCTGTAAGTTTTATCAGGGCAGAGAACACACCAAACTCATTTAATGTTGATTTCTCAGTGTCTTGTATGGTGCCTGATCCTAAGTAAATACCCAATAAATATTGACTGAATGAAACACATACATTACAGTCAACTGATTTTCAACAAGGGTGCCAAGACAATTCAATAAGGCAAAGAATAGTCTTTTCAACAAATAGTGCTGAGATAAATGCATAGCTACATGCAAAGCATGAAATTGAACCCACACCTCACACCATATACAAAAATTAGCTTTAAAAAAAAAAAAAAAGGTTTATGAGCTAAAATTATAAAACTCATAGAAGAAAACCTAGGTGTAAATCTTTGTGACCTTGGATTAGGTAATGGTTTCTTAGATACGACACTAAGAACACTAGCAAACACAGGAAAAAAAGAAGTTGAACTTCATCAAAATTAAACACTTTGTGCTTCAAAGGACACTATCAGGAAAGTGAAAAGACAGCTCAAAGAATGGGAGAAAATATTTGCAAATCATATATCTGACAAGGGTCTAGTATCTAGAATATAGACAGAACTCTTACAGCTAAACAATAAAAAGACAAATAACTCAATTTAAAAATGGGCAAAGGCAAGAGACAGAAAGGGTCACATAAACCAGAGACTTCATCATCCTGAGACCAGAAGAACTAGATGGTGCTTGACTATCACCAATGACCGCCCTGATAGGGAACACAACCCAGAGTCCCTGATGGAGCAGGAGAAAAGTGGGGTGCAGAACTCAAATTCTAGTAAAAAGACCAGACTTAATGGTTTGACTGAGACTGGAGGGACCCCAGAAGACATGGCCCCCGGACTCTCTGTTAGCCCAAAACTAAAACCATTCCCAAGGCCAACTCTTCAGACAAAGATTAGACTGGACTATAGGACATAAAATGATACTCGT